ATATATTTATATATTCAAGCTGTGAATGATGTCTCTTTGAATGATAGCATTGTCCTGAACTTGTGTCCATGTTAGTTATGAGATATTGGAGATCAGTTCCTTCCACCTTAAAATCACAAAGTCGCTGCACTGCACAAGGAAATCACTTTATTCGTTGGAGACCTAGCTAGATCGGAGCTAATTAAATTAGTCATCATACATAAATCCTTGTCCTTCTTTATTTGTTCTATACAGTCACTTTCTTGTCCTTTGAATCCTGTGTTCATTCATACTTGTAAATCTTTAACGCGATCTGTCTTGCACTAAAATTTTCTGTTCCCACGTAAAACGCAACATGTTTCTGCGGTCCAAAGCTATATATGCACTAGAGGATCACAACTGGAGCCGAAGACTGCATCTGTCTGGTTGTAATCTGCAAGCAATGGTGTCAGCATAAAGGTTATTGGGCTGTCTGGTGTCTGGTTGTAATATGCAAGCAATGGTGTCAACATAAAGGTTGTTGGGCTGTCTGGCCCAGGTTCCTCTATTCCTTCTCTCTTTTTGGTGCCATCGTTTCCTTCGTTCTTTCAGTAGACTAATATTAAAATAAGCTCTCAAATTTCATTAGAAAATGATAATAAATTCTCAATTATTTATTGCATGAAATTAAGGTTATGGATTTTTATTTTATTTATAACAAAAATATTGACGTTATCAAATATTCTATATTCTATCATAATCTACTTGGTTGGCTAATGTAATCTATAAAAAAAGCTTACCCAGATTATTTGGATGAGCTGGACGACAAAGACCTGGTAAAATACTATTTTAATAAATCTTGAACTTTAATAAAATTACAATAAAATAAAAGTTCATAGTTTTAATTTCATATAATAAAAGTGTTATATGAAATTTGATCATAAGAGATTGTTTGATTAGTCACAAAAAATAAATGTGTGTAAGTATTATTTATTTTACTCATACCATTTACCAAGTACAAATATTTAAACCAAAATCTTAAATCATAAAACTCATAGTAACTACTACTATAATTTACTTTAAAATATTTTAATGTACTGTGCTCCTTTGTCTCTCAACTAGTGTTTGAATTTTATTTTATTTTTAGTTAATTTGTTTTGAAATTTGATCATTTTTATTTATAATTTATTGTTAATTAAAATTTTGAAAATTAATTCTAATATTTGTAATTAGTAACACTAATAAACGACGTGAATACGAATATAGTGCCTCAATCACATACCCGACCTGCTGACAGCCTCATGTCATCATTGACCTTATCATTGATGTCTTTATCTGACCAAATTCTAAATAAAAATTTCGCTTTTCTTTTGCCTTTTTTTTCTATTTCCTGGAGACAGCATAAAAAATGGAAGGCTTTTTTTGGAGGAACACGATTTTGGTGGGCGGTAAGACTGAAACCAAAACAAAATCTAAAGTATGCAAAAACTCAAACGTTGATTGGACAAGAACCCAACACACAACAAACGAATGCTAACTACATAGCTTAGAAGTGTACACCTGTTTAAAAAACGCACGTGTCCTTTGACCTTGATGACTCCCCTAAAGAAGCTTCGAAAAAATAATGCAAGTCTTGCTTGCTTCGTGCCCTAATCTCTTTTCTCTGTACTTCCGAATGGAATAATATTGATTGATTTTTTTTCTGTAAATTCAGTTAAACTCAACGGAATTCAGTTACGCAATTGGTTAATTCAGGTGGGTTTGGGTTTGTTTCTGTTTTAAGTTTTCGTTTTTTGTCTTTTACCTTTATATTTTCACCGTCTGGTTTTGTTTTGTTGGGTTTTATGAAGAAAGCTGGAATTTTTAGTGTGTGTGATTCGTTCATGTTTTATTTGAAGTTGTTTTCATGTTGGATTCTTTTTCGTTTTCTTGGTAAATTTTGAGATTGGTAGGCTTAAGTATTGTGGATTTGTGGGTCTGGGGTTCTCTTTGATTTGTGGTTTTTGATTGATTTGTTAGTTAACTGAAGTTAATTTATGGTTTAGTGTTGTTTTTCTATCTGGGTTTTGTAAATTTTGTTTGAATTTATTAACTTTGTGTGATTTAACTGGGAACTGTTTGACTTTGATCACCGTGTTGACTTGCTATGTTAATGATGACATTAGGGTTTTTGGTTATTTTGATTGAGAATTAAGTTAATTTTTTTGGATATTGATTCTTCATTTATATGCATAGGCGGAAATGCCGGGTGGTCGGCATTTTTCTCGAGTGGATACTTTAGAGCTGAAATCTCAGATTGAAAGAAAGATTGGGCGTGTAAAAGCAGAGAAATACTTCAATCTGCTCACTAGATTTTTGAGTCTGAAGATTAGCAAACCTGAGTTTGATAGACTCTGCATTGGTGCAATAGGGAGAGAAAATGTTCGTCTTCATAATCATTTTCTCAGATCAATTATTAGAAATGCTTCACTTTCAAAGACTCCTCCATTAAGAGAGAACAAGTTGGAAGGATCTTTAAGCGTTAAAGTGGCAAATGGGTACCAAAGAAGTAATCTTCAGTCACTTTGCAAAGACTTTCCTCAATCCCCTCGCAAGGGCAGGACTCCAAATCTTCGTGATCGCAAGTTCAAGGACCGCCCAAGTCCTTTAGGGCCTCATGGGAAGAACCATAGTACTACTTGTGAAGATGCAGTTCCTAAAATTCAAGAACAGCAGAGTGCTACTGAGTTGCTTTCTTTGGGTAGCAGACCACCTGGCTCTGTGGAGGATGGAGAGGAGGTTGATCAAGCCGCAGGAAGTCCAAGCATTCACAGTAGGAGTCCTGTTAGAGCTCCACTTGGCATCTCTTTGAAGGCTAAAGGTATGCGAAAAGTACCATGGAATGGATTGGCATCTGCTTCTGAGACTTGTCATTCCAGAGGTGAGCTACCTGATAGCAGTTCTTTGAGGAAGAGGTTGGAACAGAAGCTGGAGATGGAGGGATTAAACATCTCAGTAGATTGTGCCAATTTGTTAAACAATAGCCTTGATGTTTTCTTGAAGAGATTGATAAAACCCTGTTTGGAATTGGCTGGGTCAAGGTCTGGACAGAAACTTATTGACCAAGGTCATAATTGGTCCATGGCCTCTTTAAATGGAATGCGGCCTGTGAGAGCATCAATGTTAGACTTTCGAGTTGCGATGGAGCTAAATCCCCTGATTCTTGGAGTAGACTGGCCAACACAACTTGAAAAAGTCTGCCTGCTTGCTTCAGAAGAGTGAACCGAAACTGATTGGCCCCATGATTAGGGTTGGAGCTGGTTCCAGCCAGAGCAATTTTGAGTTATTTCAACTATAAAGTCGACTCTAACATTGATCTTGATCATACCATTTTTATAGAACAGATGAAGTAAATAAGTATAAAGGCTACAGGAGTTTTGGATCAAGCTGATCAGATTGTATATAGGTCAATAGCTCTGATTTATCCTGGAGGTGTGACATCTTAACTGGTGAAATCCAACTATATTGACGCTTTGTAAGAATCTACCTGTTACAAATAGGTTAGCAACTATCTCCACCTGATATCTATAGTTTTCTGTTGTTTCAGTGAACACTATTTTTATAATAATGAAGTGTATCTTTTCGTTTTCAGCCCGCTATTGTTGTACTTGTCATGTGAGCTTTAATCATCTATTTTTTTCCTTTGATACGGTCAATTATTTCTTATGTTGATGTATCCTTCTGTGTTTTTATGTACTGTCTTGCCACCATAAACTAATTTACTATAGTAGCTTTTTGATGCTACATGGCAATAAAATTCTTTTATTCCTTCTATATGGAGATCAGGGCATTTGATTGCAAAATCTGTTCATTTAAATGGAGCTGTATATCCTTACATGAGATTGGATGCTTTTCAGTTATCTTATTTCCTTCTCCTTGCCCATTTTTCCGCAACTTTTTTCAATCATACAAGTGTGAAAAACTGTCATTCTTACCTTGCGAGATCAGTCTGTTTTCTAATTCATGGCATTTGAGGGCAGAATTCAAACTTTTTGTCTTTTCTGGGTTTCTTAGTTGGGTTGTTTGGGCACATAGACCAAACAATAGAGGACATTGTTTCATGGAAGCCGTTTGTTTTATAATTTTGCACATGTAAAAAGAAACAAATGGTTAAGGAGGTGGAATTTTGTCTGGATGAATTTGAGGTAGATGTCTCGAACAAAGTGGTCTAATGGTACTTGTTTCTGTGATTCATTCATGCACATCTTGTGTCTGGCTCTGTCCTTTTTATATTTCCCTCACTGTTTGCTCTTCAATTCTTGGTCTAGTGGGCATGACAAGTCACAACCAGTGCATATAATAGGCATTTCTTATCAATCAGCGATATATAAAGTCATTTACTATGTCTATAATGATCCATACCTTTGACTCGGTTCACAAATATGGGGACAATATTATTTCTCAGAGTTACCAGGGTGACTTGATATAGTATATGAGAATGCCTAATGTTCAATGGCACGATATGAGGTGGATTTGTTATCACTGTAAATAAAATGGTTCAACTTGTTCTGATTTCAAATTATTACGAAACTTCTGACTTCAGTTTGACAAATAAAATGAATGGAGCCATAGTCTCTTACCTTCTCTCAGAATCATAATATATGTCATAAGAAAGTTTTTGTGTTTACAAAGAAACCGGGAATTTGCTGCAGGACCTCTGGTTGAAGGGGTGCCATGTCCCTCATTCCTCTCAGAGAATCCATTTGCTAACGTCTTCAGTGATGACAAGGTTTGGGGTGCCTTGCTGTGTTGTCTAGGAACTTTGTTTTGAGCCAAGTGCTAGATTTTTTTTTTACAGCCAGAGAAATGCTAGTTCACTGAGCCTAACCTTGCACGACAAGTGTTCCCTGCTTATTTTTATTCTGGGGGTGTACACTGCTCTGTATTTGTTGGTCAGACAACGGGTTTTAAATATCAATCCAACATAGTAGTTAACTGCACTATTTTTATATATGGAATTAGGTTTAGGGGATGATACAGATTATTTTTTTCTAGTTGGTTTCACTATAGTTACTTGATTGCAAATATTATATTCATTTTCCCATCCATGGAAAGTGCAAGGAGCAGATGTCCTTTCTTGCTTCTTAGATCTTTCCCTTGAGATTCTTTCATGCTATTGGACGTGCATCAACAATATTCTAAGATGTGGCTTGCTCTGTTTGGATAGTGGGATAATGATCTATGAATTAAGCTGAATTTCTAGTGAGTTTGACTGTCTCACCTTTTCTTTCAAAACTTTATATTGAGGAAACAAACTTATTTCAATTGTTGGACAACTGGAGAAAGGCATGCGTTGGAAATTCTGGAAATCACGCCATTGTAATGAGTAATCTGAAGAAAACGGCACTACTTTCTATTAAACAGAAGACATTGTCACATCTTTTAGATCAGAAAGGTTCGTGCTCCCTTAAGAGCAAGAATCTTGCTGGTTCTCTTGCATTATCATTTTTCTTGTGACATTCTTTGATTGAGATTGATTAGGAAACATGTAGCGTTCACTAAATATTAGGCATTCATTCTTGGATACTGAATTTAATATTTCTAAGCCCTTTTAATGATTCTGTTCTTATTTTTTTATGATAAGCTAATGATTTTGTTCATATAAAGGCTTGTGTGCAACACAACACATGAATTGGGATGTCGTTGACAATTATTTGGACAACAATTCTGTTGAAATAAAGAGAGGATTGACAGATACAGGATATCTTTTCCCTCCCTTACCCTCACCCTGCAGCCTTCTGGATAGTTTACTGAACCTGCAAGAGTTGGGGATAATCCATTGATGCATGGGATCAGATATGGAGAAATTTCTTACCAATGATTGTCTGTTCGTGCTGCAATAGTGATGCTGAAAAAACGAAGTGTACGAAGTGAAGCAAATGTTGAAATGATCAAAATTTAGATAAGACTGCAATGTTTTGATCTAATAATCTAGTTAACACTGGGAACATTAATCAATAACTTAATGAACAGTTGCAGTGAGCTGGAAGGTTTGGCGATCGAAGAAACTGATGTGGAGAGCTGACCATTGATGGATTTTCCAGAGTCTTTGTTTTCATTTTAGGTAAGTACTCGTTTGGATCTTAAATGCTCCTTCAAGAAAAGTCTTGAACATCACTCCCTTTGCTTTGTAACAGAATAGGCCATTTTTAATGTGTTTTAGTGTAATATCTCACATCTTACATTTAATATGAATGTAATTGTGAAAATTTATATAACAATTTAAGTTCATTATTATTAGTAACTTAAATTTAAGTTTTTGTGCGTTACGTGATTTGTTTCCATATGGTTTATTATAAATGATAACAAGAGCATGTGTCAATCCGATGTTGGCTTTCACATTGCACTAATCAATGAACTTTTTACATTGCGTTAATCAATACATCACATCTCACATATGATGTTAACACTTATATAGCAAGTCAAATCCCAGCTTACTCTTTCGAGCGCCTATGCTTAGATGCTCATTGTGCTTAGATGCTGGATGCTTGGACTTGGGTTATTACATTTAGTATTCTACATTATCATTATCTGCTACTGTAGACATCAGCACTAGTGAGTGTTAGTGCTCTCTCAAGACAAAAACATTATCTGGACATCATTGTAACAGTAAGTTCGCGGGTGTCACATTGTAAGATAAAAGAACAGCGGATGAGAAGCTGATGAAAAATCTGTCTGGACATTCTTGTACACGTCTGTGGTGTGCGCATCGTCAAACCAATGAGAAGATGGGCGAGATATAATGTCGTGATTCTTGATGGAACTTGTTCTTTCATATGTTCGAAATCCGTGCTGATTAAGTGATGACTTAAAGGCCTATGCATGACAGATAAGTGCGACCAGCAGTAACATGGACATGCTAGAAAATGACTTGTAGTCCCCAGCAACGGCAACTTCTTTAATTTTAATTTTAAACCGTGAAAAATTATAACGAATACCATAGTTCCACGTGAGTTCCATTGGCTGTGGGGTTTGAGATTACAAAGTGAGAGGAAGCCAGGAAGGAGCAAAGAAGAGGAATATAAGGAACATTATCCTTTGGCACGTAAAATATAATGACAGGTAAAAATATACAATCACAGATTTGTATGCTTGCAACTTGAAGCCAATCATTTGTCCTGGGCATCCCAGATGGGGTTCACAGCTGCCCTGATAACACATGCAAAGATACCAGTTTTCATGAAATAGGAAAGATAAAAGGTTAGGACAAATTATCGAAGCCACGCCAGATCTGGTCGGCAACAAGGTTCTGATTGAGTTTCAATTGTTATTAGTTCTCCAAAATCCTCTCTAGTTTTTTAACCTTTTTTTTTTACATAATATTTTATTATTTAAGATATTCATAACATTTAATTTAGTTAAAGTGTGTTCTTTGCTGTGTCTACAAGCCACTCAAATCAGATCCATTTGGAGATCAGAGCGGGCTGCCAGCTTTATAAAACAATACAATAAGTTGGCTATTTATTCGCCTTTTTCCTCTTCTTGCTAGGCTTCATTCGCAGAAATGGTAGGAATTCCAACCCTACAGAGTCAAGAAAAGTTGACAGTGACATCAGAACTTAACGTTCATTTTTACAACTGGCTCAAACGATATTTGCTGTCCCTCTATCACTCTTATTTGTTTGACTTTTATGGTCCAATCCAATCCCTCTTGCCCATGTAATAACTAAAAAAAAAAAAAACACCCTTGTCTAACTTATTACAACACCAAGAAATCTCATAAGAAACTAAATAAAACATCTTCCAGAACCTCTGTCAAGAACCTTTAAGGAACTTCCTCAGTTAAAGGCAGCGCAATTTCTACGTATGTTCCCGTTCTTCCCAGTCTTGACGCCTACCCGGCCCAGCTTAGTAATGGCAGTAACAAAGGCTTGCTGAAAAGCCTGCGTGTTGGTGGCCCAGGCGTTTACAGTAGGCTTAGACCTTGAGTCCGTGAATAGAACCTGGTCTGAGGTGAAGAGACCCTTGCCTTGCTGCAGGTTCTGGTAGTAGACATTGTCAAATGTCCTGGGTGTGTTTGGGTCCATGTTGATGGCTATCCTGGGGTCTACATTCCTGGGGCACATTTGTTGAAGCTGGGAAGCATAGGCCTGGTTGAGTGTTGGGTCCACCGGATTTTGACTGCTGAAATTGTATATTCTGTTGGCAAACTTGCCGCAGTGAGAGAATCCGACGGTGTGTGCCCCTGCAAAATGTAACAAACAAAGGCCCTTTAGCTTCAATTCATATTTTTATAATCATAAACAAAATCCCATGCCTATGTTCGATATGCAGACATTCACGTCACAATGATATACTTAGTACTATCTCAACGTCCATATGCTTCATGATTTAATGTCCAATTTTAGAACAACTAGTCAAAGTACCCTCTTCTAATAATTGCATTTGAAAAGTTTTAAGACACACTCATTCTTATTTTATTCGTTTTCATAATATCTGTAACTAATGCCAGCTAATAGACGATGTAAACTAAAATCAGATTTATTCACAAGGGGCATAGTGCCCTGTCAGCTGGGACCCTTTTTTTTAATCCTACGGGACCCGCCAGAGAGAAACCTTGTCAGGCTGTGATTGGAGAGTGTAGTCAGGGAGGTAGTACCTGAAAGAGCAATCATATCCGCTTGGTTGAGCCCGTTTGCTGCAAACAGAGAATTGAGTTGATTCAAGTTGAAAAATGCTTGAGGCAGCTTTCCATTTACACTAGCAGCTTTGGAGCTTAACCCATCCAATCTCCCCAATTCAACAGCATAAGATGGTCCACCTGACTGCATTATCATGACATGTACTAATTTTATTAGAAATATGACAAGCCATTTCCTCTTTAGATTGAATATACAGGTATGTATGATGTTGATGAGAAGCATAATGATATCCAAAGAACAAAAAAATGCGGGGTAAAAGGAAAGGGGACAAACCAGAGCAATAACATCTCGGGTTGCCATGGCCAAGATGTCGGCACAAGAGACCTTGTTTCTGCAGCTTGGAACTGCATCAACTGCTTCTTTGGCTTTGATGACAGTGTCAAATCCATCTCCTGCTAATGACAGGTTATCAGGGTGATCCTTTTCTGCTGTGTTGCCACCGGAGGATGCAATGATAACCGAAGCATCACAACCCTGTTAGTGAATCCAAAAAAGAAACAATAGTTCACTCAAACATGAAAGGTTAATAAAAATAATCAACATGGACAAAAGGTATTCTTCATATTGTGCAAACCTGGACAAAGCAATCATGGAAGAAGAGACGGATAGTTGCAGGAGCTGTGACAAAAGTTTGGCTGAATTTCTTTGCTACTGCACCTCTAACAATGTTTTCTACATTTGGGCAAGTATTAGCATAGTAATTCCGTCTTAGTTGAGCTGATGCTGTATCAGGAAGGACAGAGAAACAAAGAGAAAGTGACAGCACAACTGCAAGATTAATGAACTGACCCATTTGATCAGAAATTGAGTAAATGCAGTACACAAAAAATAAGAGAGGATGTGAAGAGGTTTTATAGAGAGGAAGGTTTGGAAAGGTTAGAGAAAAGATAAAAACCATAGGAGGAAGTTTCTAAGTGGTCGTGAACCAGTGGGGTGAGAATCTTTTTAACAGTAATTAGTAATTTAATAATGGAGAGAGAGGAGAGCCAAGTTTGAAAGAGACGTTTGTTGTTTCCGTTTGGCTGTGTCACTGGCCGGCTTCGTCTCGATCCCAAACTGCTCTCCTCGGTGCCCAGACACTTGTATTTAGACTATACTAACCTCGAATCCCGCCAAAACGTGGTCCAGGAAGGAAAAACCTAGAAAAAAAAAAAAAAAAAAGAGAGGGGGGCTCCAAATGGCCTAACTAAAATTCGTGTATTGCACGCTACGGCTTAGTTTCTGTGTGCTTCAAAGACTAGAAATAGTAAGGATTCCGACCAAGACGACCACTGCTTGCTTTTGGAGATCTCTTTCTGTTCCTTTTAAATTGTATTAGGCTTGGGAGATCTGATCATATTATTGCGGTGTTATGAAACTATTAGTCAAATAGACAGTGAGATCATGGCTGCATTAGAACTAAATTTAACAAAAAGTTAATTGGTTCTGTGGCAGGAAGGGTCGAACCTAAATGATGGGCCATGCCCTTATAAGGCAATCATAATATTAGACTAATCAAGCCTTCATGAAAATGGCCCCATCTAGCTGTTGATTCTTCCTTGCTAATGTGCAGAGTTTATATATATATACACAGGCAATAATTGAAAAAGTGACACAAGGGGAAAATAATAAGAAATCCTTAATCATCTAAAAGTTCTTAATTTTGTTTTATATATTGTTAAATCGCCATTCATTGTTTTGAACTTTTCTCTATTGGATATGTTAAGTGTTTGATACTACTTACTATTTTTGTGATTACATCTTCCATCACTATGTCTTTACTTTAGTCTTATCTTTGCCATCATAGTCACATATTCGAGATTTTGCGACTTGTTGCTCAGTTAGAACTAGTCACAGTCATGGGTGCTACAATTTGTACGAATGCTCCGGGACAAGCCAAGCAAAGAAGAAACCTTTGCGGCACCGGTGCGTGGGGTGGACCTAATCAATTTTTATTGAACGTAAAAGATAAATAAGAATAAGAGGTAAAAATTTATTAAATTAATATGTTAAATTTAATTAATAATAAAAAATTTATAATAAGTAATAATTTTATATAATATATAAATTAAAAAAATTATGCTCGATGATATTTTTATATTCAAATTCATCATTTTATATTGACAAGATTTGTAATATTTTTCTCAACATAAATAATTAAACTATTTGTAATAAATTCATCATTTATTTTGTTTCATAGTTTTATTTTCACAATTTTCATTGTTGAAAAAATTTTTTTTATAATTATAATAGAAATCGAAAAAGTAAAAACAAATAGTAGTAATTTTTTGACTTTTTTATTTCTGTTAATCTTGGACACAATTGAGAAAGTATGTTAATGTCTTCAAAACTTTAATGATAAGGTATATCAAGCTTGTAATGTCTCAATTGTAACTTTAAAAGAAATCTTTATTGTTTTGTGAAATCTTGAGGATAAAAATGCTCTACTAACTTGTAAATATGTAATTGTTAAAATAAAAAGATAAAACTTAAATTAAGATAAAATTTAGTAAGATTTGTAAAGTAATTTTAATTTTTTTATTTTTATTAATTATAAAATAAATAATTATTTTAAAAAGGATCAAAATAAAAAATTGCAAAAATTCTGAGGAGGTCATTGAAAAAT